GTTAGATTTCTCTTAAAACCCATCATGGCTCCCTCTATTATAGTATCTCTTTTCTTGCTCTCCTTTACTCTTTCCCTGACTCAATCTCCCTGCTCCATCATACCCACCTATGCCCCCCTCTTCCCCCAACCCACCCTCCATGCTCCCAATTTTCTTGGAAGACCTTGTCCCTTTCCCCTTCACCAGGGGACCATGTATGTCTCTCTTAGGATCCTCCTTGTTTCCTAGCTTTTCTGGTGGTGTGGATTATAGGCTGGTAATCCTTTGCTCTATGTCTAAAATCCATATAAGAGTGAGTACATACCATGTTCCTCTTTTTGTGACTGCAAATGTCAAGATTCCCTTGCCACCCCCCACCAATGAGTAGTACTCCATTGTATAAATGTACCACATTCTCTCCATCCATTCTTCAGTTGAGGGCCATTTAGATTGCTTCCAGGTTCTGGCTATTACAAATAATGCTGCTATGAACATAGTTGAACAAATGTCCTTGTTGTATGAATGTGCATCTTTTGAGTATATGGCTAAGAATGGAATTGCTGAACCTTGTGGTAGACTGATTCCCTGAGGAGTTGCCATACTGATTTCAAAGTGGCTGTATGAGTTTGCACTCCCACCAGCAGTGGAGGAGTGTTCCCCTTTCTCCACATCCTCTCCAGCATAAACTGTCTTTGGTGTTCTTGATTTTAGTCATTCTGAAGGGACTAAGATGGTATCTCAGAGTTGTTTTGATTTGCATTTCCCTGATGCCTAACGATGCTGAGCACTTTCTTAAGTGTCTTTCAGGCATTTTAGATTTCTGTATTGAGAATTCTCTATTTAGTTCTGTACCACACTTTTTAATTGGATTATTTGGTGTTTTGGTAACTAGCTTCTTGAGTTCTTTGTATATATTGGAAATCAGCCCTCTGTCAGATGTGGGGTTGGTGAAGATCTTTTCCCATTCTGTGAGCTGCCATTTTATCCTTTGCCTTACAGAAGCTTTTCAATTTCAGGAGGCCCCATTTATTAATTGTTGATCTCAGTGTCTGTGCTACTAGTGTTATGTTCAGGAAGTGGTCTCTTGTACCAATTCATTCAAGGGTACCTCCTACTTTCTTTTCTAAGAGGTTCAGTGTGGCTGGATGTATGTTGAGGTCTTTGATCCATTTGCATTTAAGTTTTGTGCATGGTGATAGATATGGATCTATCTACATTATCTACATGCCAGCATCCAGTTATGCCAGCACCATTTGTTGAAGATGCTTTTGTAGTGAGGTAGTCCTTCTGTAGCACTGACCACGCCCATTGGGGGGTGGAGCGATGGGCGGAGGTGACCTGAGGAAGGAGGTCGGAGGGGGCCAGGAAGGCACTCTCTCTTTCTGGCGTGACTCGGACAGGAGAGGATCGGGTTGAATTTCCTGGTGTTCATCTGTCTAGGTTGTAAGTTATTTCTCCCTGAATAAACATCTATTCGGCCTATTTGTTTATCCTGATCCTTATTTACCACAATATGCTTTCTTTTTTCCATTGTATAATATTAGCTGCTTTGTCAAAAACCAGTGCTTTCAATTCAAGTCCATTGGTCTTCCCGTCTATTTCTGCACCAAGCTGTTTTCAGGACTATAGCTCTATAATAGAGCTTGAAGTCAGGGATGGTGATACCTCTGGAAGTTCCTTTCTTGTACAGGGTTGTTTTGGCTATCCTGGGTCTTTTGTTTTTCCATATGAAGTTGAGTATTGTTCTTTCAAGGTCTGTGAAGAATTGTGCTGGGATTTTGATGGGGATTGCATTGAATCTGTAGACTGCTTTTTGGCAAGATTGCCATTTTTACTATGTTGATCCTACCTATTCAAGAGAATGGGAGATCTTTCCATTTTCTGGTATCTTCTTTAATTTCTTTCTTTAAAGTCTCAAAAGTCTTATTATACAAGTATTTCACTTGTTTGGTTAGCATTACCCCCAAGATACTTTATGTTGTTTGTGGCTACTGTAAAAGGTGATGTTTCTCCGATTTCTTTCTCAGCCCCTTCATCATTTGTATTTAGTAGGGCTACTGATTTTTCCTTTTTTTTTAAGTTAATCTTTTATCCTGCCACTTTGCTGAAGGTGTTTATCAGCTGTAGGAGTTCCTAGTAGAATTTTTTGGGTCGCTTATATAAACTACCAAATCATCTGCAAATAGTGAGAGTTTGACTTCTTCCTTTCCAAGTTGTATCCCCTTGATCTCCTTTTGTTTTCTTATTGCTCTAGCTAGAACTTCAAGTACAATACTGAAGGGATATGGAGAGAGTGGGCAGCCATGTCTTGTTCCTGATTTCAGAGGAATTGCCTTAAGATTCTCTCCATTCAGTTTGTTATTGGCTGTTGGTTTACTGTATATTGCTTTTATTATGTTTAAGTATGTTCTTGTTATTCCTGATCTCCCCAACAACTTAATCATGAAGGAGTATTGGATTTTGTCAAAGGCTTTTTCTGAATCTAGTGAAATAATCATGTGGTTTTTCTTTTTCAGTTTGTTTATGTGGTACATTGATGGATTTTCCTATGTTGAATCATCCCTGCATCTCTGGGATGAAGCCTACCTGGTCATGGTGGATGAGTTAAACTGTCATTTCTTAAATATGGAAAATGTCTAATTTAGCCCACATGAAACTACACTTAACTACACCTGGAAGGATGTTGTTTTTATTTATTTTTTTTTTTGAAAAGCTATTGTTTTATTTTTGTTGTTTTTAATGTAGCAATCGAATTATGGTAGTGGCATGAAAATTGCAGAAAGTTGAGACAGAAAGACCACAAGTTTGAGACTAACTCAGGCTAAATGGCAACTTCTAGTAGGCTGGGTTATAGTGAGAGATAGTGTCTCAAAGGTGGGGGTGGGGGAGGGGGGACAACACACAGACAGCAGAGCAGCCAGTAGGTTATTTCCTCTCTTACTAGTCAGCCTTCTTACTGATGTTTCACACTAGAACCCCCCCCCCTCCAGTCTGCTATCTTATAAGGAAAACATCAATTCTCTTACTATCATGATAGGCTTAGAATTATAGCATCTACTCAATAGAGAACAAAACATTCTACCCTAGTGATTCTGTTAGCATCATTACTGTCTGTGTTACTATGAACAAATTATGACTCCTCTGGACCTCTCCATCTTTATATAGACAATGATGGGATGTATGCATTCCCAACCTGACCCCTGCTTCCTAAATACTTCCTCTGATAAGAAGAGCCCAATGCTTACTAGTCTAAACACACACTACTAAGATGCCAGCAGGGTATTTACAATTCCAGAGTGGAGTGGCTGACTAAGTATTTACAATGTCCTTCAGTGGATACATGGCACTTTAACAGAGAGGCAGCACTGAGACCCGAGAGCCTGTCTTATCAGTCCAAATCTATCTTTTTAACATCTGTGCAAGGATTCAGACACAATATTTTTAAGTATTTGTTCTTTGATAATTTTAATTTTATAATTATTTTGATCATATTTATGACTCCCTCTCTTCCCTGACCCCTCTCAGATCCACCCCCTTTCATCCCCCACCAACTCCACTTCCTTTTTTTCTCTTTTTCTGAGACCTGGTTTCTCTGTGTAGTCCTAACAGTCCTGGAACGACCTCTATAGACCAGGCTAGCCCTGAACTCAGAGATCTGCCTCTACCTCCTGAGTGCTGGTATTAAAGGTATGCACCACCACCACCTGGCTTTAAAAAAAAACAAAAACAAAAACAAAAAAACCTGGAATTCAATTTGTGCTACCCGTATAGTCTTAGTGTGGGGCCATCCACAAAAGAAAGTTTTAAAAGAACACTGTCCTGTCCCTCTTCAAGAAGTCACCAACTGGTCTTAGATCCTCACTTAGAGGTAAGAGCTTATGAGCCCCTCCTTGACCTTGTACAGGTCCTGTTCAGGCAACCAGAGCCTCAGTGAGTGAGTTTGTGAGTACAGCAGTCCTGTTATGCCCAGGATACCCTAGGCTCCTAGTGTGCGTACTTGTATGTCTTAGTTATAGTCTCTGAACTCTCCAGTTTTTGAGCTTTTGTTTTAACCACTTTCTACCCCATAAAGAAGTTTCTCTGACAAGGTCTACCATGCTGACTCTATGTTTTCAATTTATCACTTAACCATATGTGAAAGGCAGACTTTTAGTCAATGCTTATACAGGCCTCCCTTTATCATTTTACTACTACACAGCATTTTTAACTGGGTCATAGTTTACTTAAACATTTTAGTTTTGATGAATACCTCTTTTATTTCTAATTTGTTACTATAAAAAAGCACTTTTAACTCATTTTCTGAAGTTACAAATTACGACATTTGTGGTGATTCACCATTTATGTATTTGTGTGTATGCACACATGCGTGTGTAGGACCACACACATTCCACAGCACATGTGAGAAGGCCAGAAGACAACTTGCCAAAACTGGTTCTTTCCTTCTATCATGTTGAGCCCTGGGGATCAAACACAGGTCATTGGGCTTGGTAGCAAGTATATTTTACCTGCTGAGTGACAAGCCATAACTTCAGGTCATCTGAACAATGTTTATATTTTGTAAAATTGAAGATACTCAGTGTACTTCTTTCTCTCAAAACATGTCAACTTTAAGTTATGAATTTTGGAGATTAAAAACTTTAAGTGTTAAGAAACACAGCAACTGACCAAGAGAAATTTTCTAAAGATGAAAAAACAATGGCTGACAATAAGAAACAAAGAAAATCCTAAAGGACTATTCATATATAAACATCAAATACGAACAGTGAGTCATTAATGTAAGCACATACAACACAGTGTGCTGCTGTATTTGTATCAATGCACTTGCTATGACTAAGTTGCTTTCTCAAGAGAGGTTAATGCCAATACTAGGTATGTGTTATCTGCACAGAAGGGGTGCCAAACTACAAGAGAAACAAAGATCTGTAAAGTATACCAAGAGTACACATACATTCTATAATTTGCTAATCTCAAGCATGTCATACCAAGAACTGCTAAAAATAAAATGCTAAAAACTCACTCACTGTCTTCTGTGGGAAGGACCTGCAAGGAATAAATCCACTCTATTATATCATCTTTGTTCACCACATCTAAGGAATCCAACATATCCAGCCCCGAGAGTGCAAAGAATGCAATTGTCAACCTAAAAGGGAAAAAAAAAAAAAAAGTAAAACATCACCTTAACTGTCAAACCAGTGAACTACTTCTGGCTTAAACCCAGAACAAAATAAAACAAAACATCAAAACAAAAAATAACAAAAACCCTCATTCTACTTTTAAATAATTTAAATCCATCCCTCCACCTTGTCAAATAGGAAAACAAAACAAAACCCCACAATTTATTCTTAGTAATCAAAAAGTACCAGTCAAACGTTTAATTTTTAAGAAAGGGACATTTGGAATCATGAACCCAACTCAACTGCAGGGTACAGGAATGCATTGAAGTTTGAAAGTGTACCACTTAAAGGCTAAAAGCATGTATGTATTTGTTGTGTGTTCACGTGTCTGTGTGTATGCCTGCTCGAATGTATACACTGTTAGATTTACTTTTGTATTTTTAATTAGGGGTGTTGGAATTGGGTGGGTCTTATGTTTAACTAGGGGTCCAAGAATGGAGTCATGTGAGGAGACTTCTGAGTGCTGTGAAAAACTACAACAAAGACTCCTATGATCTCAGTTTCTTCATAAACACAGAATTGTTCTTGGATTATATTTTTTCATGGCCTTCCCAGGTGTAGTGGATAGGAGTGTGTTTACTTCAGATTATCCATTATGACTGGCTATTGTTATTTGTTCATATGCCTCTATGAAGAACACACTCTGCAACTTGCAGCCTGCCCATCACAAGCAGCTTCCTCTTGTAATTGGACACTTTACTCCTCTTAACCTTCAAAGTATAAATTATTTGATGCTCTGAATAAACTTGGTTATTGGATGAGACTTTAGTTCACCTCATTTATTGGCTCCATCCTCCCAGGTCCCACCACCATTGAGTGGTAAACCAGGGGTGTGTGTGCCCGTACATGTGGGTTTGTGCACAGGGGTGCAGGTACCTGTGGAGGGAGGCCAAAATGAACCACCATGGCTGTTGCAAACGGAACATTACACATGCTTCACTGAGTGTCCATCTCTCCAATGCCATCTAGTTCTTCCTGTAGCTGCTTGTTTAACATTTAGAAGACTGCAACTTGATTTGTACAGAGCCCTACCTAAGATCTACACCAAGATGGCTTTACTGCTGAAGATACTCGGAAGTCCCAGTCGGAAGTGGTTATTCTAGAAAGGTGTAAAGCAAGGGTTTCAAAGCTTGGGGACCTAGTCAGCTCACACAGAGCAGTGCTTCCAAAATACTGTCAAACCCTTACTACTTCCCTCACAACACACTACTCACCTGCCTCAGGTCAGTATAACCAAATTCTCTTTATCACTGCCAAAAAGTTTTTGAAAATTTTGTTTTTGTTGATATAAGAACAGCTCTTTGGTAAAACAGTAAATAATATACTTATTTACATGATGCTAGTGCCATTTGAAAAGGAAAACTCATTTGTTCTGTAAACATAAATGTGGTGATAAATTATTTGAAATTTATTAAAGCTTTCCCGAGGGTTCAAAATGCAAAGCTAGCTACAAGCCAGAGTCAGACCTTTAGTCCCAGGACTGAAGAGACAAGAAAACGGATCTGTTAATTCAAGGCCACACTGAAATACATGAAACTAATGCAGTCTAAAAGAGAAATAGCTCACACACAGGTGATCTCAGCACTTGGAATCATGCACATTTAATCCCAGCACTTGAAGTATACAAGATAGGAACAGATATTCAGTCTGGGGCAGTTTGATCTCCAGCCACATTCAGGAATCAGTCTCCAGCTACACTGAGTTCAGGACAGCCCTTTCATCCTGAGGTAGAGGTAGCAGCTAGTGGCCAGCTGGCTCTGATCTTCAGCTTAAACACCAATATCTGTCACTGGGTTTTTATTATTCATATTACACATAAAAACCACAACTCTCACCTAAAAGGGGTTTAGACATAGTTTATTCTGGAGCCAAGTATAAGTGATTATGACCCAGGAATACATATTTAGGTAGGTTACCCCAAATTTCATATTCCAATGTAGTTAGAGTTTGAAGTTTTTAAAGAAGCAGAAGAAAGTCATAAATTAAATCACTTTTCAATATATGGTGGAAATATTAGGTAGATGTCAAAGACTAAGGCAAAAGGAGGAAATCTCTGCTACAGGCCTCTTATTTATTTTCTGACATTCTTAGCCTTTTTGGTTGGTGGAAGTCTGTTAGCACACTTTTAATGTTTTAATCTATTAGGAACAATGATGTTAGGTCAGATACAGAGGTGGGCACAGAATGGCCATGAAGGGACTGAAGATAGACTAAGATATATTTTGATTGGCTCTAGACCTGCAACATCCCAACCTCCCAACAACCACAGAAGTTAGCCAGTCTTGGAGAAGTACCAGTGGAAGGTGTGGATGTTTCAGGAATTCTGCTCCACAATCCCTAATTATCACAGTACAAGAAACTAAAATGGAGTAATTTTACAAAAACACTGGATCAAAAATATTAGTAGGTGTCTAAATATATAAGCCAACATTAGCCCAAGAGTGAGGTGTTTTGGCCAGTGTGGCTGCACACACCTACAGTCCCAGGACTCAAAAGGAAGAAGTAGCCTGCGAGCTTGAGGCCTTCATGGACCATACAGAGAAACTTTGCTCCTGTAAATAAACCTAGGCTGCTTTGTATCAGTCAGTAATAAGAACACAAGCAACTTAAAATCAGTATGAGCCACAAAAACAAACTCAAAACCAAAGTGAAATAAAGACAGGGGAAAAAGGGAAAAGGAAACACTGCAAACCCAATATATTATTGTCATTTAAATGAGGTTTTAATGACCCACAAGAAAATGAAAAATTATTTTTAAAAATTCTATAGGAAGGGCTGGACAGATGGCTTAGCAGCTGAGCACACTTGCACTGGACCTGAGTTCAGTTCCCAGTACTCACACTGGGCAGCTTTCAACCACCTATAACTGCAGCTCCAGCAGATCTACTGCCCTCTTCTGGTCTCCACAGGCAGTTGCACACACATGCATATATATTTACATAGGTACACAAATATACACACATAAATAATAAATCTTCAAAAACTCTGTGCAAATGTGATGCACTAGATGTAGGGGTGAAGACAGCATCTCCTAGACAATACACTGAGGTGTTAAATATGCTCTAATATATAATGGTTGGTGTGGAGTGCTATGATTATGTCACAGTTATTTAATGGATTATGAGTTCAGACAATTTTTACTGTTAGGTTATGAGCAGAAATTATACTATGTACTGCCAATATGTACTACACAATGGGATTTTGAAAGTGCAATCACAAACCTTTATTGATAGCCAGGTTAAATATCACTTCACTTTATCAATGGTGCAAGTTTTGAACTTTCTTTCTTTCTTTCTTTTCTTTTATGTTGGGATTAACCCATAGCCTACAGCATGCTAGGAAGTTGCTTTACCACTGCCCCACATTCCTATCCCTGGAAATAGTACTTTGGCGTGTAGGCGTAGTACATAAAGTGCTGTAGCAACTCACGCTGACCAATCAATATCTATGGATAAAGGAAAGAGAACAGACAACAGTTCACTATTTCTTTTAAAGAATCGATTCATCTTGGAGCGTCAGATATGGCTCCCTGGCTGCTCTTCCAGAGGACTGGGACTCAAGACCCCGGGCCCACATGGTGATCCACACTGGTACCATCAGTTCCAGGCCCCTTTCTGCTATCCACCGGTACCAGGCACAATGCGGGCAAAACACCCATACACATAAAATACAAAAACTTAAATGCTTTAAAAATTCTGTTCATCCTTTAGGGCTCAGGACATAGACAAATATTTGTTTATGGCCTTTATATGCCAGCCACCATCTTAGGTCCTAGTGTAATACTGCCCTATAAGACAATGCAAATGCTGAAACTAAAAGAAACAGCCAGCAGCTAAAATGTGGTGGAGAACTTGAAATGTGTTGGCTACTAGCCAAATGTGACTATTGACAATCAACTCAAACAAGGCAGCTCTGATGTTATACACAAGACAGAATTCTATTCGACAAAAAGTTACTAAGCAAACCAATACGTACAGGTGGTAGTCAAGAAAAGCTTCTCTAGAGAAATCTGGACTACGGTGCATTGCTTGTCATTTTCTTCAGAAAGTCTGCATTAGTGGACAGCACTGAACACTACTCAACGTGTTCACCTGCCTTGTTCAGCTGTATTCCACACCTACCAATTAAGTATCTTTTGATCGCATTTGCAGAAGTCATCCATAAAAATCCCCAAACTGAACCAGTCACCAAGTGTTCAAAATGCACCGGAAGCTCCTAATTCAGAAAATATAGGGGACACCAGGGCAAAATGTGTTAACTGGGCATGGTGGCTCATGTCTTTAATCCTAGCACTTGGAAGGCTGAGGCAGCAGTTTTCTGACCAGCCTGGTCTACACCATGAGTTCCAGGCCAGCTAGGCCTAGATGCTGAGATGCTGTCTAAAACAAAACAAAAACCAATGTTTCTTAGCACCCAACCCTAGGCAGCTCTTTAGCCTCGCTCTAACACACAAACGGCGCACATCAAACATGTTTCCCTTCCGTTTTCTCAGTTCAACTTCTATAACAGTCCCTTAACCTCTGCCAGATGTCAAATATTTGTCAATTCCAGCCTTACCGTGTGTGTGCTTCATGCAACACTGAACCCTTTAACCCTATTATGTGATTAACTATTCCTCGTGAGTAAACTTCTAATCACATCTTAGTAGAGGGTTTCCCTGTTCAATTGAGAGTTAAGAAGGGCAGGGCAGGGGCGACGATGGACAAACGGTTTGTGTTCTGCTTCTGAAAACGTTAAGAAACAAGTGGCTCGCAGGATGTTAAGGGAGTGGAAAAGGAAGCTCACAGAAAATGGTTGGGAAATGAAAAGAGGCGGAACCAGGCAGGAGATCCCGAAAGTCCTGGGCTTGGAGCTCCACACATCTCCCCGGGCACAGGGAGCAGGTGCCAGCGGCGATATCAGGAGGGGGACTAGGCAGTGCAGAGAGGCGGGGAGCCCGGGGCCCAGGGCGGCCAGGGCCGGGCCAGCACCGGGGGATATAAGGGCGGCCGGCCCGGCGGCAGCGCACCCCGGGTCCCGGCTGTTTGGCCGGTCCGCTGCGCGCATCCCGAGGGCCGCCATCGCCAGCCCCGCCGCGGCAGCCTCGCCTTACCTGCTGGTCTCCAGCGAAGAATAGCGCTCCGGCAGGACTTGGAGGCAGCGCTGGAAGAACCGCACGTGCCGGTCCCGCAGGAAGTCCAGGCGCTCTCCATCTCCGCTCCCCGCCAGCCTCTCGTCCTCCGTGGCCGCCATGCTGCTCCGGAAGCGACACTCGTCGCGATCCGGAAGCAGTTGGTGGCAGCGCCAAGTCAACTCCAGCATGCCTCCCTCAGGTGTGCGTCCGCCTGGCGCCCGAGCCCGCCCGAGGCCGAGGCCACGAAAAACTCAGCACTCGGCCCGCCTCGTCCCTCTAGGTTGGAGTCTTTCCCACTCAGTCCCAAAGTTTTAGAAAACGTACTCGCGTCTTGTAAAAAGCAGTTTGCAAATACCTTCCTAAGATTTTTGTTTGTTTGTGAAAATGACAGAGTGAAACCCATCTCATGTGCTAACCAACACAATTTAAATCCTGGCCCCACACAGCATAAGGGTGTGAGATCTGGAAGTTTAATTTTGCAAAGACTCATTGTTGGAGGGCCACAGTTTTAAGCTGAATGAACAGGCAAGCCAAACTTACAGGTAGGAACGGGAGACAAACCGTGTTACAAGAGATTTACCAACACTGAAGATTCAGACATTTTTCCTGATCCTGTTTAGAGTATCTGGAATTATTTAAAAATGTATACACAAGTGGTCCTCATTTTACACCAAGTCAGTAGAAATCTTTTAATTGTAGAAAATTAATTTCCTACAAAATGTGCTAGTGCTATATATACTTACTTAACACTCAACTCCAAAGCATCCTGGGTAATTTCTGCTACTTGGCCTTTTCACAAGCTTAGAAACCTGAACTCAATCCTAGGGATCAACAAAAGATGGAAGGAGAGAACCAGCTCTACCAAGTTGTCCTCTGATGTCCCCCAGCATACTGTGGCTCGTAGGAACATGTCTCAGACACACACACTCTCTCTCTCTCCTGCCTCAGACTCTCTCTCTCTCTTTCTCTCTCTCTCCCTCCTGCCTCAGACTCTCTCTCCTGCCTCAGACACACACACACTCTCTCTCTCCTGCCTCAGACTCTCTCTCTCTCTCTTTCTCTCTCTCTCCTGCCTCAGACTCTCTCTCTTTCTCTCTCTCTGTCTCTCTCTCTCTCTCTCTCTCTCACACACACACACACACACAGACACACACACAAGTTGTCCTTTGACGTTCCCCAGCATGTATGCACCTGGCACCAAACACACACACACACACACACACACACACACACACACACACACACACTAAAACCAAGGCTGGAAGTAAAGCAAGTGGAGCATGCAGTTGGTGTGCTTGTGGCCCTAGGTCCTAGGTTCAATCCAAACACAGGCACCAAAGACAATAAATTCTCTAAGACAGCAAGATCACATCAACTGGCATGCTTAGCTTTGATGCAGGCAGCTGAAAGGTGCATTTGTGTGCAACACAAGGCAACATAAGAAAGCTTTACTTCTCTATATCTTAGGTAGCAGTTCAATTGTATTGAATTCCTTCATAAGGAATTCTATATTCCTCAATTGTTCCAGATTATTTAAGAGTTATGGAAAACAAGTAAATACAGTGGTCATTTCCAGTTAAGGATACCTTGTCATTGTGCACTGATAACTATATAATTAAAATTTATTTTCTAAAATTTAGACTCTGTATACTTTGAGTCTATATACTTATATAAATGTTACATAAGGAAAGATTTAGGTCACTAATCCTTATAATTTATGGATCATTTAGTCTATATATCTCAAATTATAACTAAAGGCATTTGAAGATAAAATAAAAATAAAACTCCTATATTTTACGTAGATAGTACTTTCCTTATAAGTTGAAACTTAAAAGTTAGGATGATGCAAAATGTTTTAATATGAAAAACTGATTGAGTTGTGTCATTAAATTTTCTACTTTTCAGTCCAAAAACATCAGTATACTGTTTAAAACTAGCTTATTTCAGAAGAAAGAATGTTCCTAATTTGGGGCAAGAGGAAGAAAACTTTACCACCAGTAAGATACAAAGACACAAAGGGTTTATAAATCTGTGGGTCCAGAAAGCCTGGAAGGAAATTTGACATAATTGCAGGAAACCTGAAGGATGACATCATAATATATAAATAAGGTACATGTAGCAAGGGAGGTTATTTACAATAGTCTCCATATTATAAAACAAAGCATGCTTTAATCAAATACAAAATATTCACTACACAAAAATGAAACAACTGACAAACTACCATTTTGTTAAACTTAGAAAAAGTACTAAATTATTGAACAACTCTTTTTTAAAAAGACACTTCACGTTTTTGTTACTCAAGTTTAGTTACTTCCAAGTTATAAAAGTTAGAAAATTTTGGCTTAAAAAAGACTGATTCTCCCAAATTATTTCACGAAGCCATGATAAAAACAAAGTATCTTTGAAATATTTTTAGTATTTAAATGAAACAATGTTTGTAACATAAACCTATTTAAATAACTTTCATACCAATAATAGGCCAACATATACCATCTTTGTAGAAACAAAATACTGACAATGCTACGAGACATTTAAAACCTCTCAGTTCATACACAGCACAATAACCAACCTGACTAAGCTAGTAACATTTAAATGGCAAAGTTAATCACCTTCTCCTGAAATAGCAATACTAATATTCTCATCAAGTGACTAGCAATTGCATTATCTCATAGTCCCTCTAGATTCCTTGTCGCCAGCTTGGAATGGCCCTAAAGAGAAAAAGAGAACAGCAATTATAAATATGCAGGAAGATCAAAACAACAACAAAAACCAATTGATTAAATGGCAACTTAAAATACATACAGGGTTGGTGAGATGGCTCTGAGGGTAAAGTAGGAAAAGGCCCTTCCAACCAAGTCTGACAACCCAAGTTGGATTCCTGAGACCCACGTGGTAGAAGAGGGGACACAAACCCCAGTTATCCTCTGACAGTCAGCCACATGTACATCACAGCACCCATATCACTCACATGACCATACATACACAACACACAATACATACAGAATAAAAAGTTAAAATACAGCTATGCTTTATCAATCTGTTAATAAAAATTATATTCACAAACTGCATAAAATACAAACATGCATAAAAGTGCATAAGATAAAAACATTACGAATTTCTATAAACAAACACCTTCTACTACCTTCTCACCTGTGTGGGATGTGGAGAAGTGGCCCAGAGCCTGATGGGCCTATCTTTTTGGTTCGTTCTTCCCAGCCTTTGGTGGGTTTATAAAGCCTAGAAGGATCTCTAATGACATTATTTTCAACCTGTGATCAGAAGTAAAACAGTATCAATTAACTTATATGCACTAAATTTGCACTAAGTAAAACCTTTAGTAATACAAAGCAGCTTTAAAAATCAAGTTTGGTTATTACCCAAACATAATATGTCTAAAATAGGGTTCCATTGTGCTTAGACCACTAACATCAATTAAGAAACCACTCATTTATCCTTTCCTAGTTCTACCATCTCAACTCTATTTTAATTATGACAAATAGACTACAGCTTAGTATAACAGCAATATAACCAGATGATAAATGTAGGACAAATAACACCAATAAAGTCATCTACTTGGTCCATGGTCCTGAGTTGTTTCTTACCACTGAATCTAAGCAATGGCCACAGCTACACAGATGCAGAATGGAGGTTCAGAAAGAATGATGATCAAGACAAGACAGAAAATGCAGAGTGAAAGAAAAGAGTGCTTCTAAAGAAAATGGCAGAACTCAAATAATAATTGCTAAAAGTGTATTAAGTTGTGCTCTGTGATAAGTAAGTGTGAAGTGTAAAGCAGAGACAACATTGGGATCTAAAGGGAGAAGATCTGCCAATCTCCTTACAGCCAAGGAATCAGGACAAGGAGGAGGGAGCCGGGAAGGTAAGATGTTCTGGTATGATACGCTGCAGGCCTGATTACAGATACCCTCTATGTAGATTTCAGAGAGCTAGGAGAAATGGTTCCCACTGGGTTTGCCATAAAGAAATGACACACATCTGAAGACATGACTATGCTTAGTCTGATTTAAATATCACATAATTACACATGTTATGTAGGTGAGGAAATATATACTTCATTAGTGTGAAAAATGATGGTTAAATATTGGTTAAGAAAGTAAGTTTAAAAAGTAAAGATAAATCAAAGCAGGGCATGCTGGCACACACCTCTGCATTCAAACATATCCTCAGCTACATAGCAAGATCTGTCTCAGACACAAACCAGAATACAGTACCTTTTCTTTTAATTTGGCCAATCGCCTCTGTTTTTCTGCCTTTTCCTCTTCTTTTGACTGTCTATCTAGAATTTTTAATTCAAGTTTATGTAAATCCTAAAAAAAAAATACCAACAGAAAGATGTCATTAAGAAAACTAATTAACTAAATTTTGCTTTCTTAAGTGTTTACAATTTAAATTACCTCAGCTGCCAATACTCCTACAAAGGTGATGTTTTCAAATGAAGGCTAAGAATTGCATTTCCCTGACTGCCACCATGCACACCTTTTCTGTAGTGAGATATTCACTTTGTCTGCACCTGTGGCACAGATCACGCCCATTGGGGGGTGGAGACAGAGGCGGATGTTACCTGGGGGGAATTAAGTCTGAGGAGGGGACTCTGAAAGCTCTCTTGCTTGCAGCAAGGGGATAGGAGTACATCCAGAGGCATCCTTGGGACCAGGAACCTATCTATCTATGTTGTAAATTATTTCTCCCTGAATAAACATCTATTCAGCCTATTTGTTTCTCCTGATCCTTATTAAACATCAATACTTTTTTGTATTACTTTTATTTTAGATCTCATTATTTTACTCAAAGGTTCAGTCTAAACTTCTTAATAAGCAAACTAAAGCCATTTTTCGCTTATCAATGAAGGTATGTCTAGTCTGGGGTCTCGTCTAATTTCGTATTTTCAATTTTCCTTTTTCTCAATCTTTTATTTTTTAGTGGAACCTGCTTACTTTGTGGGGGAAATGAATAAGTATGAGATGTTTTGTTACTCTGTAGTGATATTTTGTTTGTGATCTAACAAATAAAGCTTGCCTGAAGATCAGAGTGCAAAGCTAAGCCACTAACCCTAACCCTAACTAGTTAGGCACACACACACACACAAAGACTCTAGTTAGCCATAGAGGACAGGCAGCGGTGGCCACACCTTTAACCCCAGAACTCAGAGGCAGATGGATCTCTGTGAGTTCTAGGCTTC